ATGGAATAAATCATTTAAAATAATTTGAATGGTTGGACAAGAGAAATTACAACAAGTTCAATCTTTTTTAGGTATAATTTTGATATTTAATCATTGGGATTTGACAGAACATGGGTAATATACATATCTCAAATACATTCAATGGAGTTTGATCACCTGATTACATTTGGCTTTAAACATTTTTCTATTCACTGTTAATTTTTTTCAGCATATTATGGGGTACAATGTTAAGGTTACATATATTGCCCTGCTTGCTTGTGATTTAATCATAGTCTCATTTACAATAACCCCATGATGAGGTAGCTACAATTTGTATTCACATTTACAGATGAGAACACTAAAGTTTAGAAAGCTAAATAACTTGTCCAGGTTACCTGGGCTAGTGGCTATGTTGTTGACTGCTATAGAAATTTAGGAAATTTAAAAATTCAAGGAAAATATTATACTATTTTTTCCCAGATTCTTCCAGTTGATTCCTGTGTACAGATCAATTGTAACACTGTCTTAGTCTTTCCCACTGCTCAAGTCATTTCCCATTTCTCACTGTCCATTTCAAGCTCAAGAGAATACCTTGAGACTAGGCTATTATAATGACACAAAACTTATTTGGCTCATGGTTCTGGAGGCTGGAATTCAAGATCGAGGGAGGGCCTTCTTGCTGCATCACCCCATGATAGGAAGGCAAGAGGAGGGGTGTAACTCACTTTTTATAACAAATCCACTATCTTAATAATAAATTCACTCCTTGATAATGACACTAATCCTATCATGGACGATAGAGCTCTCATGACTTATTCATCTCTTAAAGCTCCTACTTCTTACACTGCTGCATTGGGGTGAGTTTTCAAGACATGCTTTTACTGGGGGACACATTCAAAGCATAGCAAAACTTTGGCTTCATGTCTATGGGTTACAGTCAAGATTTTAAGCTTCTCATCCCATTTCTATATACTCTACCTACCAGGTATTTAAAATGTGTCTGGATTTTCGTGGGTTCAAAGAGATAATGATATTTTGTTGTTTTTCTGAAGGTGCAAGAAAATGGGGAGGAAGTAATAATAGACAGTGAGGTCAAAGGGAGAGTGGGAAGGTAGTTGGAAACCAAGAAAGCATTTGTGTATTTTTTAATATAATATATCAAATGTATCTGTATCTGTAATTTCTGTTCTAATGTTGACCATCAATATTCCCCTCAGGAAGATGATTCTGTTATTATTCATGAAAACCTTTTGGTGTCAAACA